GAGAGAGAGAGAGAGAGAGAGAGAGAGAGAGAGAGAGAGAGAGAGAGAGAGAGAGAGAGAGAGAGAGAGAGAGAGGGGTAGGGTATGAGGGAGTGTCGTAGCGTGCCATAAAGAGAGAGAGCGGTAGGGTAGGAGGGAGTGCCGTCGCGTGCCGTCGCATGCCATAGCACCCGGGACGATTGAGAAGCCCGCCCCTTCGAATGGCGGGCACATTTCAGGGCTGGGCGCGGGCGCGCGTTCAGAAGGGCCGTTTGGGCGGGCCGAACCGGTATCGCACGACCCAGATTGCGGGCCGGTCACCACCTGCGGACGGGCCAGATCGCAGGCCGATGAGAAAAGTTTCTCATCGGCCTGCGATCTGGGCCGTCCGCAGGTGGTGACCGGCCTGCAACCTGGGCCGTGTGATGTGACGTCAGTAGATAACAGCATTGGCATTCCCGGCATTCATCTCAAACTACACACTCGCATCACTGCAGAAGCGGAGGAAGAAGATAAGAGACAACTTACCTAAGACAGAAGACTCCTCCAGCAAGAACGCACCAACCCCCTCTGCTAAGGGTCCGAAAAAACTGGAAAGCCTTCCACGCCGGCGCACAAAACATACATTCCCCCCAAAGAGAACTTGTGGCCACCCGTAAACATCCAAACAGCCAATGCTTTAAAGCAGGGCAAAGACTTAGGCCGTGTATGCAAACCAACAAGACGTATCCAACCAAAAACTGATTTGATCCAGTCTCTTTTCCAAACGGGCCCTGCAGAAAATCAATAAGGACCCCATCACCTAGCAGAGAAGGTCGCCGAGTTTAGAGCAGGGAATGAGCGGGCCAACAATATATGGTCTGGATTCGAATTCATGTCTGTGTTTCAGCAGTTATGGGTTACTTTTTGTTTTCCTTTTCTTATGAATACGTGCAGTGGCCCTAAGGGCCTCGCTCCACTCGTCACCACATGCACAAAAGACAAATGAAAAGACAAATGGTGTATGGCTCCATGTTCTAGCAAAAGATTCATTCTAGTTTTGCACATTTGGCGAGTTGTGGATCGACGCCCTGAGAATCACATGCAGAGATCAACAGGGCCTAGCTGAGTTAATAACCCATAGCTGCTGAAACACAGACCTGAATTTGAACACACGCCATATATTGTTGGCCAGCCCATGCAGTGCTCTAGAGTCGATGGCCGTCTCTGTTCGGTGATGAGACCCTCACTAATTTCTGCAGGGGCCCTTCGGATTACCTGCCGGGGTCCTTTGACTTACATTGAAGGAGCCCTTAGCTCTCTCTCTCTCTCTCTCTCTCTCTCTCTCTCTCGTATACACACACATACCCCACCGAAAAAAGGAGGGGGGGAAAAATGCGCGCATCACTACATAGCACACCTTTGATTTGTGCATGGTACATGGCACACCGCACTGGTGTGCCACAAGTATGGTTCTGAGCTGTGGAATCTGGAGTGAAATTTATGAGCTCATACCAATGTCTTCCGATTGATGACAGACACTTGGAGATGAATAGTCTTATTAGCACACCATGCGTGCCAACCATCCTGTTGACTACCATAAGAAAGTGTGGTAGTAGGCGCGTACTTGGAGGACACTTGTCCGTTGCTGAAATCGACAGATGTTGGTGGGTTAGCGTCCTCACCCCAAGTGTGGCACACACCAATTGGCCATCCTGCTTGAGTGGTAGTAGTGCCACTGATACATGCCCGGTTGGGCAATGGACATGGAGCCAAGGATCCGCAATGTGATGAGAAGGACTGAATGGACAATGCAATGTCAGTGAAACATCAACAGGCAATGTACATCCTGATACATACAAAATGGCACAAAGTAGCGCAGTGGAAGACTCGAAGATAAGTCCTGACCTGACCGGGACTGATGCAACATCCCATCATACACCACACATGAGAGAGGAGGAGGCGGGACCACACACATGGAAGAAAGGACCCTCCTTCGTACATGCACATGGGGAGTAACACAGATGAGAGATGGGAGGAGAGGCGAGACGAAGATGGAGGCGAGGGAGAAGACCGAGATCGCAATAGGGAAGTCCAAAATAGTCCCTTGCTGATGCCCAATCAATGTCTACCTCAAAAATGTCGGATCAGATCCTGGGCGCTCTGCCCACAGTAACCTGTGCCTGTATCCTCTGCCTGTAACCTCTCTCTCTCTCTCGTATCTGATGACGAAGAAGAAGGAGGAAGGAGAAAGGTGGGAGAAGAGAGTGAGACCGGCAAAGAAGAAGATGCCACCTTCCTCGCTGTCTCACCTGCAGGTGCTACCATTGAACTGACCGCCATTCTGTTGTCGTTGTGTGCAGGTCGCGGCTGCACAGGGAGTCCCAGCTATGGCGCCAGGTAAGTCCCCTAACGCAGGTATGGCCTCCGCCCCTCTGCCTTCCGGTGTTCAGCCTCCAACTCCGCAGCGCTGCGCTAAACAGCACAGCGCTCAACCGGCAGTGAGCTACCCCAACTGTGTTTGCCCAGCCTCAGCCCAGCTATAAGTAGCGCTGGGCCTGCTGAGCGCGCCTCAGGTACTGGCCTCGAAACGGCCTACTTGATCTGGGCCCCTACCGGGTATCCAGACCGCGCTGCTGATGCAGCGAGGCGCCAAAATGCGCCTAGCCTGAAAACGGCCTCGTCACTGTGTACCTGGCCCAAGGCGTCACCTTGGGACCTGCAGTCCGAAACGACGTCTGAACAGACAAATGTAGGACATCACAACATCAATACATAAATAAATAAATAAATAAATGAGTGAGTGCTGCCTCACTGGTACCTGGGGCCTGTAGGGCCGCCGTGGGCCTCCAGGGCACGTGCTGGATGCCACGCGGCCTGGTGGCCCCTCAGCAACTGTGTGCAGGCGCAGCATGTAACAGCCACCAAGGACGGTGTTTGCAGTTAGAAGAGCATTTCTAGGGAGGTCGATAAGACATTGCTTCTTGGTCCAGTTCTACTTTTCCCTTTGTTGTTGACGAGCCATAAGGAAGAGGCCATATGAGGGTGAAGAAAACACGAACCAACATCCATAACACGAAGATCAGAATCACCATCAAGAAAAAAAAGATATCATGATGTAGGATAGGGGTCAGTGCAGAACCCCTGCCCCCTATGGTGGCAAGATGATGGAGACATGGCACTGAAAATTCCTGTAGACTTCTTCTCCTCCTTTTCTCACTTCTCTCTTTTCTTCCTACTCTTCATCTTTGCCTCAAACTCTAGCATTGCTTCACGATTTGAACTGGGATCAGAGCACAGACGAACTCCACAAAAACAAAAAAACTGGACTCAGTGGACTGAACAAAACTTGCATCCTCTGCAACATTGTAATGTGAAGTGTCAAATGCCAATGATGTCATTTCTCAGCACGTTGCAAGCTTTGCGAGCAAAAAATAGGTCATGGACAAGGAGTTGGGTGTTTTCGAGTTATGATGCTTCCACAACATTCTCAGGAATCAATGAATCACAAAGAAAGTGCAGCTGAACAGTCCTGGCTTGAGTACGCACTAAGCATCACTGTCTGGAACTTCGAAGTCTGTTCATTCACCTGCAGCAGCTTGGTCTGACATTTTGGCAGCTCTTTCTAATAAACGAGAATGTAGATAAAACACATCTCCTGGGAAACCTTCTCGACCTGGTGGTCGACGAAACTATAATGACATTTGTCGATATGCCACTGATTGCTTACTTAGATCAGCATAGATAATTAGAGTGTGCATTCCATTGTCTCCTGCGTAAGGAGCAAGAAATTGACATGTTTATTCACCCACCTGCCGCACATCGTCCACGTGGCACTTAAGCAAGTATTGCCGCAACCAATTAGGCCTCTCCACTAGTGTTTCCAGAAAACATTTGCATGCAGTAGGACTGCCATCCAGCAGCCTAGCAATCATTTTCTGCCCAAGGAACAGAAGTCACAATAAAGAATGAATTAGGAAAGTGAATCCGCCCTTACAGATGCATATGATTCCTGCTTTAATTTCTAAGCCTGCATTGAAAAAAGGTGTGAACTGCATGCAACTTCATTGATGAGAAACCAAGCCGCTAATACCATCCCAAACGCCAACCCCCATGTCCATGTCAAGGAAACACAAACATAGTCGTAAACTGACCAGGCACCACTGCCGCCGTACCCTTTGGTAAGGGAGGCAGAGAGAGAGGGGCTGCGCGCACGGTGCCGGGGTAATTGTGCAGAGGAAGGGTGGAGGGGGGTCTTCTGAAAGAAATTACCAAAAAAAAAAGGAAAGAAAGAGGAAGAAAAACGGCATAAATACCAGATGGGGTGAGCACGCACACATTCATATTCGATGCTCCATTCTACTAGGGTGATGAATGGACGATTCGTGAAGAGTATCAACAGCAAACCAGAGTGCACACACAGAAACGAACCAGTGTAGCACAAGATGCGAAGCACAAGATGCAATGCAAAGGTGTCTAATGCGTCCAGTATTCAGAGTCGCAGTCTAACAGCAATATCCTGGTGTCCGGGGTGTATCCGAGTAGGTGAGTACGTTGTCACAGCCTGCGGTTGGTCATAAGGAGCCCCAGCACATCAGTGCACATCGGACCCTTTTGTTTATTTTGCAGCTTCTTCGGGAACATCGCCTTTGGTGTTCTGCACCATTCATGAAGTAGCTTCATAGGTATTAGGTACTAAATATCAAGAAGCGTTCACCGAGATGGGCAAGGCAAAATTTTCCCGCAAGAATGCGGTTCTGGCTTCTGGCATCCTCGAATTTATGTTGTTTCCTGAAGTAAAGAAAACATCCAGGAGAATCGGAAAAGAGAAAAGCGGACCAGTTCAGTGAGTGAATCATCAATTCAATCAGATTGAATTATGTCTACCTTATGGTTGTTATTGTGTAGCCACAACGCAAAACGAAAAAGGGCATGCCTTCTATGGTCTCTCTTCCAGCTTAGATACTTCAAACACAAACATAAATATGTGGCTGTCATAGAGCATGATATCTGCAAACTGCAAGAAACAAGGGTGCACTGTCACAACAGGGGAAGATGACCTTGGGTTGTGTGACTTTCAGCTTTGGGCAGACTCACCTTCCACAGATGGAGCTCTTCCCTCACGCTACTGTGCGTGTGTAGCAATACTCGCATTAAAAACTCTGTGGCCAGAGTCATACTTAACCTCGCTAACTCATTTGTATATACCTCCACAGAAAGACCCCCATCCCCCCTCTTTGCACTCAAGTCCGCACGTCCACGAGCCCCTGCCCCTCCCTCTAATTGGTCTTCACTGCATCTAGTGGTCGTCATCCCCACCCTTGATCTGCAATACAGAAACCAACATGTGACATGCTGATAAGTTCTCCCCTCTCTCACATCCCTCTCTCACATCCACAACACTACGGATAGGGAACTACATCTCTTAAAATTCAGTCACCACGCCCAGCAGAAGATTGCCACAACAGAAACAGAGAACCAACTCACACCATCACAAACGTTTAGGACTTCAGTAACATGCAAAACAGAAGAGAGAGAAAATACGACACACAATGTCACAGAAAGTTGATTCAATGTGCACCCAGGCTCATCATCGCTCCTCCCTTTTTCTGGTTTTCATCATAACAATGTCACAGAAAGTTGATTCAATGTGCACCCAGGCTCATCATCGCTCCTCCCTTTTTCTGGTTTTCATCATAACAACTCTTCCCAAGGGCATCATAGCTTCGCTCAACATGTTCCATCCACTGAGGTACCAACTATTCCGGACGGCGTTCCAGCTTTCGGAAAGGGGTTCCCATCCTGCATCTCAAGTTTTCTAGTCAATATTCTCACAAAGTATTGAAATCTACAAAACAGATGACACGGAGTCTTGCAGCGATTCTGACCCGGAAAGCATGAAGCAATGGTGTCATTAGGCCACACTGGTGCTGCCACATTCGTGTTTGGAAAGCAGCACTTAACCTGAAAAACTGGCATGGGTTGTTCAGCTGTGTGAGCTTAATGAAACACCCAACATGACATACATGGACAATGAAAGACAGGACAGAACATCGCAGACGATTTTACACACATGGTCCAACACATGAAAACATTGAGACAATGAGAAATCAGATACCGCAGATAGAGTGAACAGGTTGACATGGTGAAAGGGTTGAACAGGAGAACAAAATTGCACCACAGACTGCCACAGCAAGATTTCACGCATGCACAGCAAGAATAGTCTTGGCCACAAAAGAAAAGAGAAAAGCATCGCAAAGGGAAAATTTGATTGTGTGATGGAACGGTTTACGGAGCTAACCTTGCTTCAATAATGTCAACATTCACGTTGATAAGTCGTTGCAAAAATCGAAAATAGTCACGGTCTAACAGGTGGTTCTCATGTACAAAACTGCAAGGCAGATATCGCACACCCAAAAACAACGCCACCATAAGTTTGATCACGTTCTTTCTTCCCACGACCAGGTACAATCTGCAAAAAGTTCAACAACTGATTTCACAACTCGATTAAAATTCGTCAAATTTAAGAAATTAAGAAAAAGGGACAAAGTTCCGACAAACAGATGCATGGAGGGGGAAGAATGGTGGTACATCCACCTTGGCGAGAGCAATCAATGCCACGGACTTAAGGTCCCTCAGCCTGGCGAGAGCAATCAATGCCACAGACTTAAGGTCCCTCAGCCTTAATGGTGGGAAGTGCCGTGTGTTTCATTGACATATGGGACACTGGACCCAGTTCCCAGCATATCCCTAATCCTGTTAAACGGAAAAAGCACCCCTCGTGTAATGCTTCAGCGTGGGCCCACCGAAAATCAGCTGGCCAAGGGAGAGCAGGGGAAAAGTGGCCAGAGAGGCGTTCCGGGGAACTTTTTGGACCTGTGTGTGAACGGGGACCGGAAAATGTGCAAAGGGGGTCGCACCGCAAACGTTAGCTGAGTGGGTCAAAGTGTCGAATGGCCTTTCCTTTTTATTTTTGCCTTTTCACGTGTGAACGGCCTTTCCTTTTTGTTTCTGTATCTGAGCGGGGAGGTCCAGTTCAGGGATGTGATGTCGCACAGTTTCCAGGGAAGCTTTTTCTTTTTGAACGGCCTTTTCTCTTTGTTCAGGGGTGTGATGTCGCACAGTTTCCAGTTCAGGGGTGTGATGTCGCACAGTTTCCAGGGAAGCTTTTTCTTTTTGTTTCTGTATCTGAACGGCCTTTCCTTTTTGTTTCCAAAGTCCTGAACAACCTTTTCTTTTCTTTTGTTTCCAATTTTTTTTCTGCATTCCGACCGGTGAACTTTGGACCCGTGACTGGGCAAAGCTTCACACGGCTCTCCAACCTGAGTAACCTTTGTGGTGTACCTGACACAGTGGAATTTGCTTACACTGTGCTTAAAGAAGAGTTGACTGTCATTCTCTTAAGATAAGAGAGGCCTCCTTATCCATCAGTAGTGGTATGCTTGCAAGCTGGTTGACCTGATAAAGAAAGCGACCTCTTTGCAGCCATCTCTGTTCGGCCTAGGCTCGCCATCTACATGCTTACCCGCCCGCGAACAGCATCTTTCTTATTACGTATAGGGTGTGTTAAACCACCAGTACTTGGCCCAGCTATCGGCCGCGGGCGATTCCCGTTAATGCGCCGGTAGTTGTGGGCTTCGGGGCACCGAACCGCAATGGCTGGAAGCGCCAGCCAAAATCAAAACGAAACGGTGGCCCGACGGCTCGGCAAAACTTGGCGTGCAGGGGGTAACCCAGCTCGGCATCAATAGCTGGGCCAAGTACTGGTGGTTTAATCAGCCTCCAGCCTGCGAAAGGACCGGCTCAAGAAAGGGTAGAAGAAAATTGAGAAAAAAGGAGGTCGGGGCGAAGCTCCGAAGAGAAGGTAGGAGAGAGCCAGAGGGGAAGAAGGAGATCAGAACGAAGAGAAGGGTAAGCGACGAAACAAACATGAGGCGGACATGAAGATGAGAGGAGCTCTTGGGCCATACGAGTTGCGACCATTACCGGTCCCCTGAGAAGAGCTCTTGGGCCATACGAGAATGGGTGGCCTTATAGACTAATTCCAGAACTTCCTCACCGCCCCCCCCCCCCTTCCTCTCTCTCTCTCTGTCTCTCTGTGTACGGCTGGCTGGCAGCATGAAGCCTGCAAAGTGAGGAGCGCACGGAAGAGTAGAAAAAAAGCGGGAAAAAAAGAGGTCGGGGCAAGGAGATCGAGACGAAGGGAAGGGTAGGAGACTAAGAGCGGGGAAACAAACATGAGGAGGGCATTGGAGATGAGGAGCCATTGATGACAAGAGGGAAGCATGGCAGGATTCAGGGAGAAAAAATAATGTAAAACTACAAATACCGTGATTAAGGTAATAAAAAAACAAAAGAGAACTGCCCAGTGAAACCCGTAAGCCAGAAAGGGAGAAGTCGAAGTCACCGGCCGACTCATCACATAGCAAACCAAAAAGGAAGATGCAAAGCAAGAGGAAGGCGATCGGGACGAAGAAAACGGTAGGAGACTTAGAGCAACAAACCTGATGCGGGCACAGAGATGAGAGGAGCCATTGATGGCAAGAGGAAAGAATCGATGACAATGACTGATTCCAACATCAATCATTGTCATCTGTCCATTGTGATGCCAATCAAGTGCATGGATTCGATGGTGTCATTGATCATACCGTCTATCGTCGTTCTCAACTCGGACCCGTTGTTTTTCCCCTTCTTATCGGTGCAGAGAGAGAGAGAGAGAGAGAGAGAGAGAGAGAGAGAGAG